TTTTTATTTCGAGCCAAAACTGGGCTTAAAAAACTTGATTTCATTTGAATCTAATTTAGTAATATTAAGGCTGATGTTTCTTTTTCCTTAATTTAGTAATATTAAGGCTGATGTTTCTTTTTCCTTTTTTAATTTCGGGCCTAAAACTGAGCCCAATTAAACATAACCCGAACATACGGACACATATAGTAGTGTCAAAGCTTCATACATGATACACCACACAAATATAGAACATTCAAGAAGATGGTATATGCAGGTATTTAATGTTCAAACCCTACCATTTGTAAATTTTTGTCGCTTCTTCTTCACTTTTAATTTTTTTTCTCTTATCTGAGACAAACACTCGGATCGATATCGATTTTATTTAAGTTTAGCCGTCGTAGACTTGCTTTAATTTATCAACAATGAAGCTAATGATCTAGATCTATGGCCAAATAAATCTTAAAAATTTTAAAGGTTTTATATTCAAATAAGGAATTCGATCTAGACCAAATTTCTACATGATTTTCGGCTACTGGTTTCTAAAATATTGAAAATCGGTGAAATTTGTCGATCCATATTCGCAAATTTTGTTTTACATTTTTTTTTTTCTATTTTTTGCTGTTACCGAGTTTTAAACAATAGAAATTCAATACAAGTGTGGGTGTCCGAACCATTTTTTTATGATGTGGAGTTCTAAACAATTGAAACCCTGTACAACTATGGTGTTCAAACAATATTGATTTTATTTTTATATTTTTATGACTATTTTGATAATTTTATTATAAAAACAATAGAATATGTTTCAAATGCGGACATTTATTTTATTAAATTTTATACAAATTTTGTTTTGTAAATATTAAGGTGTTTTACATATAATAGACAAAAATAGCATTAGATTTATAGATTTTTAAGGATTTTCAACTTATTTTTAATTTTGTTAATAAATGTAAACAGATTTGTGTTTACGGTTTTTTATTATTGTAGTTTTTTTAAATTTGTTTTAATTGTTAGTTAATTGCAAAAAATTCTATCTGAACTTTATGTTAATAATATCGGATATATTTTAAAAATTTATAATCTCAACATATTTGTTCGTTTCTTGCGTAAACAATAAAAGAAATGTAAAGTAAATCTTTAATGACGAAGAACAACATCATATATATATGTATTAATTATTTGCACGGTTTTACCATTTGATGGAATTAAATTTTTAATTTTGATTATGAAATTAATATTTCTCATCATTTTGCAGGCATATACTAATAGAGATGACATGAAATTAAATCACGCAAATATTATTTCATTTTATTGTAATTTTAATATTTTGTAATGTAACATGATCTATAAGTATAATTTTTGTATTTGATACATTTATTAATATTGTTTATAATTTTAATTTTAATTGTTTATTACCAAAAGTAACTGCCAAGTGAGATGTGCCATTATATGGGTAAATTGGGCCAAACCCCCCTGTATTATACGAAATCTGCGCGTTATCCCCCTGTA